GAAAAGTTAGGCATTTTCATCGTATCATCAACCTCTCAGCAGGTCATTAATGAGAGGTTAATGTCAAGACTCCCTGACAGACTACAGACAGAGGTTCTGGTAACAGATAACCTACTGATAAATAACATACACTAAATGATAATGCGTATAATGGAAACCTGTTTTTAGAAACTTAATCACAGGGTATGTGAAGTGGCACTTTTAAGTGTCGACACTGAGGCAGAGATGGAGGTTGTCCGTAATAAATGGTTCATAGCTGCCCTATGAGTTGGAAGAAAGTATAATAAGGAGCAATTTGCAGCGAAAAGCTCATTGGGAGGTTTAAAACTGCTTTCCTAGCTTCATATAATCTGTCACTGCTCAGAGATTCTCGCAAACATCTTTTGCTGATGAGCTTCCCTTTGAGTGGACACCAGTAATTAAGTGTATTGGGCAATAAGCCAATCACTAATGCGGGCACACACTGAGATCAAACACAGATTTAATTAAAATGGCTGACATGAAAATGGGAAGCCAGAACTGTGGCGCATACCCTGGTAACTTTTGCCAAACATTAAGCTAAAAAGAAAAAAACTGGCTTTGGCAGGGTAATTATTGGAAACAGTCGTGTTCACACTCCAGTTTTTAGGGGTCATGCACCCCTAAGAATTGGCATCTGCACTGCATCTGCATGGAGTTAATGTTCTGTAGAGCGTCAGAGGTTTGGCAACTGAGTGGTTTATTTGAGCTGTCTCAGTTTTACATGTGAACTGCAGTTTTTTTCTATACCGCAAATGTCTTCAATAACTTTTTCCTATTGTTAGCCTGCTACACTTCTAACAGTAATTTGGTGTCACAGTACATTTGATTGTTTCATTTTCATGCATTTATGACATTATATGAATTGAATCCTTATTCAGAGACGCTCTCAACAACCCGGTTGCCTTCTGGTGGTCTTGAGCTTTCTGCTGGACTTGTAATGAGGCATCAGGCAACTTTGCAAGTAGGTTGGTGTGTTGCAATCTGTGTAAACTTGAACGCAAGCATGGCCTGAGATATCACGGGGGGGGAGAGGAATGTGATCTTTAGTTTGATTTGATTTGACAAACATGGCTAATGCGCACTGGCAGGCCAAACACACCAGGAGAGCGGAAAGACAGGCCCCAGGGTGAGGGGAGGGTCAGGACTGCTGCGGCTAACACTGTTAACCCTCCTGCTGCTGAACAACCAAAGCCGTCCCACATGTTACGGTACAGTACTTTTACAGGATGGGTCTAAAAGTTGAATGTTTGTGCACATAACTGAAACTAGGAGCCTGAAAAAAGGACAAAGAGAGAAGACTCAAGTGGTTTCCTTTTCCACAAATGCCACTGGTGCACCAGATAACCTCTTCTTCCTGCCACTGATACTGATTGTTTCTGTCACAATAATGTGTGTTTCTTCCCCCTAGAAGCCGTTAATGACTATCAGTGCTGTTTTTTCTGTGGACCAAACATACCCTTGCAGACATTTCACGATACATTTGTTTTCCACTATTTCTCTAACTTAAACCACTGTGAAAACACAGCAGGCAAAACCTGTTTTAAACTATGGGAGGATACCACAACTAATTTAATTCAGCTGTTGTGATTTGCACTGGGGAATTGGCGGTCTAACAGTTAAAATACCTCACCCACGTTCTCGTGAAAAGAATGTTCTTTGGCAATCGAAAGACAGGGGAATGGAAATTGATCACATCTGCAGACCCATAAAACAAAAGTGAATATTTAATCTGCTTCTATCATGATAAAATATGCATCTCCTAAATATCCAGCCTCTAGATTTTAAATCTAGTTGAAACATGAAACATCTATCTATTGTCTTTTTTCCATCTTGCATAAAGTTTCCTCTTTCCTCCTTTTTCTCTCATATCACATCTTCAGTTCATCCAGTTCTCTGTAGTTTCTCTCCTTCAAACCAAAACAAATGATACATAATCATACTGTTAGACGGGCATGGTTAACTGTTATCTCACTCACTCGCTGGACACTAGGAGAGGTGCCCCAGAGTTGACCACAGCTCTGTCTTGCTCAACCCCATCCCTGGTCAATGAGTCCCATGACAGATATGAAGAATATTTATGGATTGACTTGTGAAGCCATTTGCCTGCAGCACAAGCAGCGCTGGCCGTCGGCCTGCTCACCAAAGATTAACTTTGACGTTTCCTCCCCTAAATCCACTCGGATTAAATATTTGCTGGCTCATTTAATATGAATGTGAGTTATTGGTCAGTCAGTGTGTTCATGTCCACTCCACCTGAGTAATTGCCATTGTCTCTTGTCTGTTGCATTTCCTCCTCTTCCTCTGTCTATTTAGAAGTCATGGCTGATTTTTATCCACTGCTTTCAGTAACATTCATGCATATTGGGTCCTAGGAGAATAAACTTACAGTATGTGAACCTGTAGTTGACAGCTGTGCAGACGCATGAGGACCTGACTGGAGTTTTTAAAGCACCGCTGTGCCTATAAACAGTGTCATAGACCCACTAGTGTAAACTTGTTTCCTTTTTACCTTTGCAACAATAGACCATCCACACTCTTATTACTGTCATTTGAAGCTGCAAGTTAGCCATGAGCAGAGTTCAATTTCATTTTACTAACTGCGGTGATATGAATTATTAACACCAGTAATTAAACTGTGTGTGGCCCTGTTGCATTTGTGAGAGGCAGAATGGGTCGGTGTCACATGTACTGTATCCTTATGTCTCCATCTGTTCACCCTCATTAACCTATTTTCTGTGCTTTCAGAACAGGAGCACTGCTCACTGCTTTTTGGCTATAGCTAGCATCTTATGACCTGTGCACACACTGCCCTGAAACAATGCTCTCTTGTGCATCTTTGCACATGACCTTCAAGGATCTAAATCCTAGTGGGGAACCACTACACATTTTCAGGATACTGTTTCCCTCCAGTGCATTAGGAGTGAGCAGCATGTTGAAATATGCAGTTTTATTTTTCTATTTAGACCTCGTAACCCTGTAGGAAACCTAACCCAGATATGATTCAATTTCTCTAAGGCAAACAAATTATTCATTCTGAAACAAAGACTAGTCTGTTTAAGAGTTACTGTGTTTCATTTGTCCTGAAACATGAATCATTTCACCATCGGCAGGAAGCAAAACACTGACACAGGGCTGAAAAATTGTCATGGTTACAGATTGAGTGTAGGAATCACTTTACAATACTGTTTATACAGCTGTTAAGCTGCGGAAACAAATATAAGGAATTATTATATGTGTAACTGCATTTGTATAATCCCTGTGGATTGGATGCTGTTCATGAGAATGAAAAGAGCACTGAAATTCACTGACATTTAACTTACAAATGTTTAAAGAAACAGTTTGCGAAATCAACTTATTTGCTTTCTTGCTGAGAGTTAGATGAGAAGACTGATAACACTCTTGTGCCAGGCTAACAGTTTCCCCCTGTTTCCAGTCTTTGTATTAAGATAAGCTAACTGGCTGGTGGCTCTAGTAGGTGTTTCATAAGACTTCACACTATTCCAGCAATTAGAAACTGAAACAGATTTATTTCTAGAACAGTATTTTCCTCCCTATTTTGAAACTGCGATGTCTGGATATATGAAACTCTTTCATGTCTTTTATGTCCTGAGTTTGAACCCCACTAATCAGCTTTACCTTGTTTTTTTTATTAACTTTGATTTATCAGCAGCAACACCCTTCATTTATACCTCAGAACATTTAGTCTTTGTCATTTTGGAACTAAATTTGACCTGGGAAAAGACATTGGATTGTAAAATGTACAAAACACTGAATAATTTAAATGCAGACAGAGACATCAGTAATGAAAACCGTCCTCGCAGGTGTTTAGAAGTGACTGAACAGGATACTGAGGCAAAGTTTTGAGAGGTCAGACAGGATGAGGATTGTCTTTATGCCTGGATGGTTTGGGTTGAAGCACATCAGCAGAATGTGATCCATTTCTCCGCGAGGGTCCCAGACTCTTCCCAGACTACCTAAGGGAAAAGTAGGGGGGCGGAAAGCCAAGGAGGGGGAGCAGAGCCATTGAGGTTTCATGTAACAAGTATTCTGCAGATTTGTCCCGAGGCAGACCGAAAGCCACAAGGGCGAGTGTCCCCTTGAATGTTCTGGAAAGTTCCCTGACCCTAAGGAGTGTTGCGTTACCCTCCAATTGTAGCCTCCTGGTCTTGTCCCAGAACAGAGACTCCTTTGAGAGAAGCTGCTGACAATTTGGAAAGTCTGGATTCAGACATCCCCAAAAATGCAGTAATCAGTATAAAATCTTAAACAGAATTATGATACGAAAAAGACATTCCATAACAGCATATGCCCTAGATTTAACGGATGAGTTAGGCAGACTCAACTTATCTCACTTGAGCCTGTTTGTGCTTTTTCTGTCACACGTTCACACAAATTATCATCACCTTAGATCATCTTGAATAATGTTTTTAATTTCCTTCAATTCCCACACACATTAGTTCCCAAAGACATCAGTGAAAATGCCACAGGGTAGAACTTTGTTTCTGTTTTTCCCCTCTCGGCTTAACCTAATTTATTACAGATAATGTAGAACTCTGAGCTCGTTGAAGTTAATCAGCTCAGACTGTTTGGTGCACAACAACAGAAATAAGTTTTCCAGATACTTAATTGCTTTTAATCCTATTATTTGTTTTTCTTTGCTTTTCTCTCGGTGTTCCCATTAATGCGAGTTTGACAGAAGACAAAAAAATGAGGACAGTTTCACTTATGATTCACTAGAAAGTTCAATGTAACTATAATAGAAACTAGCCATATTGTTTAAATGGTGAATTTCTGTGTCTCTGATTACACTTGGATTAGTTTAAAGCTTAGCAAGAGGTTGGAGATGTATTTCCTTGCAGGAGATGCTGCTGAGTTCATCCTTTTGTAACCTGCTCATGTTATTTCTTCTTTTCTGTGTGTGATAAAGCTTACTCAGGTGTGCACTTATATTCTTCCTTTTTTGTGTGTCTTTCCTGCAGATGGTGAGTCACGCCCTCTCTCTCTCAGATCGTCTCAGTGAATAGCTGGCCACACAAAGGTGAAAGGATCGCAGCTGAGCTGGTAAATAAAACCCTCTTCCTTCTGCACAGTGTGGGAGAAAGTGCCACAGCGGTGCTGGTGTGGCATCCCTGTAGGCTGATAACTGGAGTGAAAGCACTGTTGAGTGATCATCTTTCACTCTGAGTCACTCACCTTTCATGCCGCGGCCCTGTAGCCGGCTCTCAGAGCTGGACCGTCAGCGGGAACGGAGGATTCTCACGTGGATACGATCGGCAGAGCTGCATGGTGTACAAGTGTAACGCATCTGTCATGAGACTGAAGAGGCATACATGAGAGAAAAGTCATGTTATTGTTGTTGGATGACCTTCATACAAGATTGAGACGCTTCAATTGACTTTTTCTTCATTTTAGTTAGTGCCCTGTGGGGCTGTTTAGTGGGAGTAGGGAGAGCTGGTGTTGATTCTTCTGCTTTATGAGTTTTCATCACCGGGAGAGTGTGTCTAAGTGGCAGGGGGAGCCAGCATGGCCAAGGCTCTGCTGAAGATACAGCGCTATTTCCGCAGGAAACCTGTCAGATTCTTTTCCCTCATCCTTCTCTACCTGACCGCTGGGAGCCTCGTCTTCCTGCACTCTGGCTTTGTCGGGGACAGCGGCCCCGGAGGCCGAGGGGGCCGGGACTCGTTGGCAGTTGCAGAGATGGGCAGCCGGACCTCATCGTCAGGCACTCGGGGGCTTGGCATCATGAGTAGAGTGTTTAAGGAGACACGCAGGTCTGGCCGGAGGTATGGCCCTCCGTGGATGAAAAAGACTGGACAGCAGGGCCAGGAGACGGAGGGCAGGGGGGGAGACTACACCAGCAACTGGAACCGTGCACTTAAAGGACGCAATGCCAAAGATATGGATGATGGAAGAGGTGGGTCATACATGCTATACTTTACTATTGTAGTGGTATTGTTTTCAATTAAGCAGCTTCTCAAATTCAACATCTGAGCCCTGTGGTCTTCTCACACATCTCAAAATTCTAAATGAGTTCGTAAACTATAAAAGATAAGATTTGGCTGATGCCCACTGTGGTTGAAATTTGCCTTAGGCTTCTCCCACACACAAAATCTATGTAAAAAAAAGTACAATAAATCAAGGCAGTGCATATTTGTACAGCTCAGCAAAGGCATAAATAGAATTTACAGGCAGAAAAAAATGAGTTTCAGCTGAGAGAATAATCACAAGAGTGCCAACAATTGCAAAAATAATTGCAGTGTTGCAACATTAATGACTGCTCAGTAAAACCGAGTTCCTGCGTTAATTATGATTATAACAATTATTATTGGCTAATAACACCCCATTGTTTTGCAAATTAGAACATTCAATAAATTATAAGATATTAACTTTTAATACAGGCTGATTTATCATTTAGATCCACTGGTAAACATAAAAGCAGCTTTTGTCCATCTGACACGCCGTGCTAATATGAAAGTGATCCAGAGTAATCTCTGATTACAAACTGCACCATTTTAATGACTGGAAATTTCTAGTTGTAATTGGTCACGCAGGAACTCTCTTGAGAGAAGAGTGAGATGATGATTATGATTAAGTCCTCTGTCTTTTCTCAGAGTGAATCCTTCAAGGATCTCACCCTTTGTGCTTCGGCTGTAGCTGCGCTGTGTGTCGCTCGGCACACGTTTGTTCAGCCACGCTGGAGCTGCAGCACAATCACAACATCTAAATGACTTCATGACTGAGGGATTTCCAGTTTAAGAAATCTGTTTAACTACACACAAAGTTTACATATAAACTCCGCACTAGCATGTGACATCCTATCTAATCATAAAACGTTTTGAAAACACCAGTGGGAGGAAGAAAACTGTCTGACGTCTCTGACCTTGACAGGCACAAATATCCTTCACAAATGAAACATGATCAAATTAGAAGATTAGAAGATATAATTTACTGCTGGCTCACTTCTCTCTTCCCTGTCAAACACTTACTACCCTGTTGGATAAACCATAAATTATTAAAAAACAATGTCAACAGTGAATATTTCCAACATGTATTCAAGCAGACCCCCCCATGTGCAACCAAAGTCATCTTACCACAGCGGTTTCACTCTCCTGCTCGTCTCTCCATGAAGAAAACAGTATTTAGCAGAGATGCAGAATGGCTCCCTGCTGATAAATATGATATTGAATCTTTCAATTATTACTGATACATTAACATATAATCACCATAATAATAATATAGGTGGTTGAGGTGGATCTAGATTTAATTACTTTGTATGTTTCATATATTCTGATTCTATGTTTTTTGTGTAAAATTTTAATCTGAACAGTAACTAGTAACTATAGCTGAAAATAAATTAGTGCGGTATTTTGAACCGTGAAATGCAGTGGAGGAGAAGTATAACGTAGCATAAAATGGAAATACTCGAATAAAGGACAAATACAACAAAATTGTTGTGAAGTTCAGTGCTTGAGTAGATGCTCTTAGTTATTATTCCACCAGTGGTGATAAACATCTGGTCTGGAAAGTACTCGAATGGTTTGGGAGTTTTCGTGTATTCATCCATAAAATCTTAAAATAGACCCTGAATAGCCATAAATAGCTCCGTGATTTTATTAGAGCTCCACTGTGATTACGTGGGTCGCTGCTGGTTTGCCTCCAGAGTGCAGTACAGACAGGTGGAGAATCTAAACTGCCCGTAAATATGAAACGTGCAGAAAGTGTGAGTGACTGCTGCTCTGTCTGTGTTAGTGCAAAGCCAGAATAGACTACAACCTCTGTGAGCCCAAAAACAATCAAACCTATGGAGGAAATAAATAAGCGATTCTATTACGCAAACTGTGAGTCACAGTACAGTGTAGCACCCTGCTGCGCATCAGAGTGCAGGATTTTAAAGAACAATGTTTTTGTAACTACCACAGTGTTGAGCTGTTTTTCTTTTCAATTCAAGGCCAGGGAAACAAACATGTTTACTACGTACATTCAGGCTTTGGGTTATCTGATCAAATGAAGGTCTCTCAGTCTTGCTCAGTCCTCCTCCTCCTCCTCCTCCTCCTCCTACTATCATCCTTCCTTTTTCTGAAATGCTAACCTCACAGGACTGCAGTTAAACGTGATGATAGAGTAATTAACAGCTTCAAAGCATTCGTTAGCTCTCATACATCCAGCACCACTCATTACTCTGCAGTCTGAACCATATTCAGAACCGGTGAAGAGACTTTTTTTTTCTCCCCCCTCCTCTCACCGCAAATGCACTCATTCTCTCTGGCTCTGAATTTCAATTTGGAGGGAATATTGCAGCATAAGATCCAGACCGCATTAACAGATTTGCAGCACAGTACAGAAGCATACTGTACTGAAAGGAGAACAGGAGGAGACTGTAGAAAAAATATACCTGAAACACTGCTGACAGTAGTTTTTTTATGATCCACCAGGTACAATGAGGTTATATGTTAAAATCATAAAACCAGATCAGGTAATAATAATGATATGGACACATCAGTTGCATCTGCCGTTCCATCCTTTACCCTCATGTCGTGCTTAGCAGAAATATGCTATTCATAATGGACCTGCAGCTTCATTTAAATCAGCATTTTCCCTTCATCATAAAGCAGATTATTTTCCAGCTCAACAATAGTTAGGAGGAAGATTATAGCTGAGTCCTGCAGCTGAAATACAGGCCTTTAGACCATAACAATTAAAGTAATGCAGGGACTAGGACTCTATGCTTCCCCCATTTAGCTATTAACAGAGGCTCAGAGGGCTAATGGCACAGCACAGATGGCGAGGGGTTTGTTTGTTAAAGGTACAGTAGAGCTTGGTCGGCTTGCTTTAACAGGGGACCAGTGTTTTAATGAGAGGCAAGAAGCTGTTGAAGGGTTGCCGTATCCCCCTGCAGAGGTTCACTGAGGCCCAACCCCCACACACTTCTGAAAAATGCAGAGAGATGACTGCTACTACAGTTACAGGCCACTAGAAGGGGATGTGTGTCTTTATAAATAAATAAAGATTCTGCCCCAGTTTGGACTCCTCATGTGCTCTGCTACTACACTGTGTAGCACTGTGAGGAAGATACTGTTGCAGAGAGTATTCACTTTAGACACTTGAAACATTATTTTGACTGTTGTATATTGGCTGAGGTGCATTATTATGCCAGAAACCTATACTTAAACTATATACATCTATGTACTCACAAAGTTTCCTCCTGTATACACAACTAACATATTTTTTCTCTTTTCCAGCAAAGTACATTGGCTGCTACATTGATGACACACAGAAAAGAGCGTTGAGAGGAGTTTCCTTTTTTGACTACAAAAAAATGACGGTATTCCGTTGCCAGGACAACTGTGCAGAAAGGTATGATAGCTGCAAACAACAAAAAAAACTCCTGCATAAGATATCCCTTTTTTTTCATCTATTGATGCTAAATGACAGGCTAAGATTTAAAGTCAGACTGACAGTACAAAAGAGCTGAATTGGAAATTAAAAAAACCTGATGGGGATTACAAGGTACCTCTTCATTTGTGGTGTTTTATAGAGCCAGACTGATACTGTTGATCTGATTGCCAGTTATTGACCAATACAGTGTTGTCGCAGATTAACATCAGCATTTGTCTTGATGTGCAAAATAATTGAACTTGCATTTGAGCAAATAATCTCTTTCTTGACCTTCGAAACAGAATTTGACAAAAATTGCACCCCTGTCCACATACTTTTGTGTACTTTTGGTCTGAGGCTGTTTTTGGTAGTCTGGGCTATGCCCAGTTTCAGTGTGGGGAAATCTTAATGCTACAGAGTAAAATATTTTAGACAATAGAGTGCTTCCAACTTTGTGTCAACAGTTTTGGTAAAGACATTTTCCTGTTTCAACATAGCAATGGGCCTGTGGTCCATGAAGAAATAATTTTTTGAGCTGGTTGGGGAGGAACTCAACAGGCCTGCAGAGCCCCTGTCTGAACCCCATCCGACCGTGGTTAGATTAACCTGTTACATGGCCCCAGGGGAGAGACGAGCTGCTGGTCCCACTCTCTGTGCACTGTGAATGATTTTTTTCTATGTCAGTATGCTATTTGGATGCAGATTTTTTTTTGTTGCGATTTGATTGTATACATTTATTAGGAAATATGCAATGCTCAGAACTGAAATAATGAAGGATTTAAGGCTAGATTGTGACACTCTTCAAGACAGGGCCTCGAGATTATATAATTAAACAGGACCCACTTTAAGGTGTACATCATGTTAACTGATATTGGTTCTTTTGTGCTGCACATCCACAAACAAATTTTCAATTAAATTAGCATAAATCAGTTGACACATGGTAAGCCTGGAGCGTGGTCTGGATCCAGCCTGGCATCTAACACCTTTGGGATGTTTTTGGTTTGTTTTTGGAACACCAACTGCGAGCCAAGTCTTATCACTCGACATCACTAATGCTCCTGTGGCTGAATGGGACCAAATACCTGTCGCCTGGCTGCAAAAATCTTGTGGAAAGCTTTCCCAGAAGAGCGCAGGTTGTTATATCAACATATTTGTATCCAGGGTTTTGGGATGACATGTTCAGCAGTCACATAAGAGTTTAATACTCAGGTGCCTGCACACATTTGAAATGAGAAATAGTTTTTTGAGCATTTGGTCTTATAGAACACCCTAATATCATTTTTGTAGCTACATTGTCAGTTCCTGGTGTTTGTATGTGGTGGAAACATGAAAAACAGTTATGAATGCTCCAGTTTTCAAAGCATTATCTCGCTGCACCTCTCCCCCATTAGTCTCCTGTTTCCACACATCCTGTCTCCCTCTCTGTGCGACCTCACCATCTTCCTCTCACCTCTTTTTTTCTCCCTGAGGAATACCAGGGACGGCTCTATCGAATGCATTGAATTACACCCATCACTGATTCGCAGAGTGAGGAATAGGAGCAGAGAGAGATGCTTGTTTTCATCTCCTTCCTCCTCTTGCTTCTCGCCTCTTGCAGCCTGCCCGCCTCCTCTCTCTCTCTCTCTCTCTCTCTCTCTCTATCTATCTCTCTCTCTCTCGGAGCAGCGGGTGAATAAAAACAGACAAACAAAATGAGGGGCAACAGCACATAGCAGCACACAGAGTTTTGGGTTTGATTGACAGCCCCCGGGATTTGTGTGTGAGAGGTGTATTAGATGTCTAATTGCATCCGAAAGGCATCTTGGGAGTCAAATCCTCCATGAAGCAATAGAAAGGAGAGAAGAGGCCTTGTGTGATGGATTCAGTTTTCAGTTTTTCAAGTACACTACACTCATTTATAATTGGCTTTGCCTTAGAGCCTCGCAGCATGTCTAACTTCTCTCATCTTCCATCACCAAAGAGAGAGAGATGTTATTTCAGACTAATGTTTGTATGTGTTTTCATCGTTGTCTCAACATCCTCTGCACATCATTTGTTTATTCTTATTGATTACAGCTTATCCAGTTGCCTGGAAAGATAAACTGTATTGGCCTGTGAAGGATTAAGGCACATAATGAAGGCTCAGAAAAATCACTTGAACCTCCCGGTCTTCCTTTACTAACGATGCCAATCCGTTTTTTTTTCTTTCTCACTCCTCCAGAGGTTACATGTATGCAGGCCTGGAGTTTGGAGCTGAGTGCTACTGTGGCCACAAGATCCAGGCGCCCAATGCTTCAGAGAGCGAATGTAACATGGATTGTAAAGGAGAGAAGAGCAACCTCTGCGGAGGAGCCAACAGACTGTCCATCTATAGGCTGGAACTGAGCCAGGAGTCAGCGCGCCGCTGTGAGTCTGACACTCAGCAAAAAAAACAAAAAAAACCTCCCCCTGGCCTCATTAGAACCATGTGCTGCTCCACAAACACTCACTCTCAGGGCGATCAAGTAAACGCAACGAATGCAACTGGCCTTTTGGTATTTGAATAATTTGCCCAGATTTTAATAATAATTTGTTGACAAAAAAAATATATTTGATATTGTAAAAATTTGAAATTCATCTCCCTGCACTGAGAAAGACCTCAGTACCAGTATGCACACTGACGCCCAAGGATGCACTTTGATGCAACATAACAAGCCTGGCTGCAGTTTTGAGGGAGAAATATTTGTTTTATTTTGGGTTAATGCCACAGTTGGGAGCAGGCTGCTCTGTTGTGTTTACCTCTTTCCCCGGAGAGCTGTGCTACCTACGTAGCCCAGCCAGCCGTGGTCTGCATCCTAAACACTCGCTGCCTGTGAAAGAAGGAAGGGCTGATAAGTAGAAGTAAAAATCATCTGTGTGTTGAGGTAGTTTGTTAAAAAATGTTGAAACATTCTGCAGTTTCCTTTGGTATTTTTGTTGGTGCTTTTGTTGCTGTGAAATTTAAAAAAGTCCGATTTACAAGGTGATGTAACTCATCACATCTTTTTCTTCCCTTTTATCATCTGTCTACTTATTCTTGGAAATAATCTGTTGCCATGAAAGGATCGAGTTAGTCGACACATCTCTGGGGAATATTTAAGCAGCTCTAAATGTTCTTACTTTCCTTGTTGAGTTCAGTGTTGTTTGTTTATTATTATTTTCATTTCTGCTTTTTTGCTTGTCTGCCATCTATTAGACTGCTGACTCCGCTCATGTTTGCATCATCACCTCTGACCCCAATCTCTGTCATGTGAGTCCTGCTCAGAACAATACGGAGGAAATGCAGGCAAAGTATGGCAGAGGCTGTTTTGTGGTTTTACAGACCATTACACTCACATGATTGAGTGTTTTTTGTTGACTGCTATAATAATCTCGCATAGATATTATTCTGCGTTTATTTCATACGCCTCTCTGTTGCAACGCAGCCCATCTGAAGATTGCTTCCTACTCCGGCTTTCACTCGTCTGCATGTTTGCATCAGTGATCTATCATTTTCGTCTCAAGGCTTTGTTAATGATATGTGTTTGGATGCTGCATATGTGCAAGTAAATGGAGCACAATAAAAGTATTTCAGTTTGATTTGACAAGCTTTGCCATATGTATGGGCAAAGAAGGGTAATAGAAACAGGATGCACTGAAGATATACTGCAAGTAAGAGTAAAGAAAACATGGACATGACATTAAAAATGCAACTTTTAGTCCGAAAAAAGGTCAAAAATAAATAAAACATTAGACACGCACACATCGCCAGAGCTAATTTACAAGGAGTGTAACCTTTATTCAAAGCCTCACAGCATTGAGAGTTAATACTTTCAGACAACAGTCTTTCTGAGGTGCTGGTATTGGCAGTGTGCACTTAAATAGGAAGGAATATGCATTTGCATATTTTATTCAGCTACGCTTGAGCGAGCAAGCTGTCTTTATCATGGTATCTGTCACAGTAAAAGGCTTTAAGTGTCTGGTTTCTTCCCTTTGTTATTAAAAACAGTCTGTTGACAGCGAGATAACTTCATATGTATATCAGCACAGCTGACATGTTGACAGCCTGAAATAAATGTGGAACTGATGTTTAGATTTTCTTCTGCAGAGATTTGAAATAGAAGTTCTCAACCTTTAAAGATGTGATGCTCTGTGAGAAATACTTCCAACCATGAATGAAAACCACTTTTTCTTCTCAGTCGGTTTTGTTTGATTTATTATTTTAAGAGGCCTGGAGGATAAAAACCAATTATTGTTCTGTAGTTCTGTAATTATGCTTTCATGCACCTTAAGTAATAGAAATCAAGAGTAGCTAAAATAAAAAAAATCCGTATGAAAAAGTATGAAACAATACAACTTCCAGTGAAAGAGAGGAGCAGCTCTTCTCTGCTGTTGGATTTATGGTCTGTACGTCAGACCGGAGAGAGGAGCCAAGGTTAAAGGTCATCATCGCAGCACCGCAGGGATGTGAGTGCTGCTATTGGTTCAGTCCTCTGGCAGGTCACGGCCTCAGTATGCTGGAGGAGAGTCCCAGTGGGATCTCTTCATCAGGGGTCAGCAGAGAGAGGCCAAGCTGATGGAAGCTGTGCTCAGTAACTATACGACTGCAGTACATAGTGTTTCTTTTTTTCCTGTTGATGAATAACACTTTGGTTTGTTCTGTCTGTTTCAGATGGCAGTGCCATTTTCAAGGGGTGTTTTCACAGGCCAGACAATGTCACATTGGCACTTCCTTTCAGCTCAGTCATCCAAAACATGTCTGTGGACAAGTGTGTGGACATGTGCACTGAGAAGGTGAGGGAATTTTGCATGTGTGTGTTCATGCATTGTACATTTGTACATGTGGGTGTGTCTGCAGTGTATAACGGCAGCTGTATTTCAGGAGAAATCGCTGGCCGTGCTGGCTGGAGACCGATGTTACTGCGGCTTCCCGACACCTCTTTTCTCCCTTCATGAGCTGGAGGACGAGGACATGTGTCTCCATCGCTGCCACGCGGAAGAGTTTGAGAGCTGCGGGAACGACAACTACTTCGTGGTGTACCAAACGCAGGTTCAAGGTAAAGTTTGGCAGCTCACGTGCTGCGACCACAGTCACAGGCACAACTGAATGAGAGGCATGTGAGGGTGTTAGCCACCTTACTGTGTTCAAGAAAAAATTTACATGAAATAATACACAGGCACATTGATAGCAGAGTCATATGCACTGTTGCTCATAAAGTTGGAATAAAATATTTTTTTACCTCTTTCCATGAAATGTGATTTATTTCATTTCACCTGGGTAATTGGGACACATAATGTAATCATTGCACCTGGTCAAAAGTGATTACTGATGCATTTAAATAGGAATAAACAGAGGATTGTGTCTGAAAACAAAATTATTCCAACTTTATGGACAACAGTGTATTATCAGAACGTGACTCTACCCCAAGACCAATATCTGTTGATTCAGCATAAAGCGTATACTAAACTGGTCTCAATGCACGGTCAGCAGTATGTCAGCAGCATTTAGTGAAAACAAATCGCAGTGCTGTAAATTCTGCATATAATATTTTATGTATTTCATGTGCTACGTTTTATTTACATTTGACCTAGATTTTCCTTAAGTGAAGTTTAATATATTTTATGTGCTTTTAATTATTTCTTATAACATAGTTTCGGTAAAGTAGGGGGGCATTATGGATAAAATCCTCTTTCACCATATTTGTAATTCTATTATTGCAGTGTTGATCTACAGTATATTGTTATATAGTAATTTGAGAATGTCTGTGTTTGGCTTCTTCAGCTAATTAAACCCTACAGTGAAGTGAAGTACAGTGTCTTCTTTAAGGATTGAGTTTTTATCGTGAAGCTGAAAAATGTTTCTCCACAGAATTACCAATTTGAGGGATCCTTACCAAAAATATTTATGTTGTAAAAAAATATTATTATCAGTTATTAGATTTTTATTTTCCTCGATATCATTATCCAGTATTAGTCAGTTTCTGGGGTATGTGTTTTTGTGAGCAGTGTTTTCTCAATGCAACAGACAGCTTGGCTTGGATAAGCAAAACTACAGGGCCCCGTAAACGAGGGGAGTTTTAAAGCTGGGAAACAAAATCATAAAAACAAGCAGCTGTGGGAAGTGAACTTTGAAATACAGCATTCTCAGAAATCTGCACCTATTGTGTATCCACCCTTAAGGGCTTAACCAACACATTAACATCACTATGTGGGCAATATTATGTAATGTGAGGAACAAGAATTAGTCAAACTAACCCACACAAAACAAAAAAATAACACCAGAACATGGCTGCATGCCTCTATTTGACCTTTACTCTTTCTATAAAGATGTTAAATGTCTTTGCCACCAACGTTCATTTGATTTTTTAACTCCCTGTTATTACAAAATTTAATAAGCAGGAAGTGCCTTGCTTTTCAGAATCTGAAGCTTGATTGTGTTGACTTGTCTAATATCACTGTCCTTCACCCCACATCTGGAAGAGATGAACAGATCAGGTCCATGTTTATCACTGCAGAGTTTTCTGTAATTCTTTACAAATCTACATAGCCTGTTGGTTTTTGTGTATTGTCAGATAACCGCTGCATGGACCGACACTTCCTGCCCACCCGTGCTAAGCAGCTGGTGGCCCTCGCCAGTTTCCCTGGAGCTGGCAACACCTGGGCTCGCCACCTCATAGAGCTCGCCACCGGCTTCTACACCGGCAGCTACTACTTTGATGGCTCCCTTTACAATAAAGGCAGGCCTCAGCATTTATCTGACATGATTCACAAACATTAATTAATCTGGATTAAATATATTCACTGTGGGACATCATTGTTTCACAGGATTTAAAGGGGAGCGTGACCATTGGCGGAGTGGGAGAACGATCTGCATTAAGACACATGAGAGCGGCAGGAAGGAGATCGAAGCCTTTGACTCCAGCATCATCATGATTCGAAACCCCTACAAAGCCCTAATGGCAGAATTTAACAGGAAATATGGCGGTCACATTGGGTTTGCCTCCCAGGCCCACTGGAGAGGGAAAGGTGAGCAAATGAAGATAGTAACAGAGTGTTTTAATAATGCATACGGTAATCATCAATTACAAAGACCTTTATCAAACTAAACTACTGACGTGCAAGTATGTTGTACACAGCAATGTAAAGCTTTCATACAAAAATTATTGGCAAGGCAAAATGTAAGAATCTGTGAGCATATGACCAAAACACATCCAGTTGAAGGGTTAGAAATGAAATGAATCATGACCAGTTTAACAAGACATGTTTTTCAGCACTGTTTTATCATCTCCATCCTTTAGACTGAAATTTCACAGATGGTCCAGTGCAAAAGGAAAAAAAAAACTTCAGCTCTAGTTATATATATATAATACAATTAAATGGAAAACTACATTTTCCATTCTGTCTTCTGTGGGAGGATGTGACAATACTTAGAAAAGCAGAAAGTGAAAATAGCAAAAGTTTAATAACACCGTCAAACATTAACAGGGTAGTTATGAAGTTACAGTGAATGGTAATGAATGGAGGAATAAAATCCAGGTGTGTCTCAGTGGTTTGACCTTATAACCAATGTGGTTGGTCATAAAGTTTTCCATTTGAAGATAGCACAAAACCATTTCCGGCATACCAGGCACGATGTCAGTATCTGTTTTGAGAAATGAGAAATGAAACAAATTAATCAGCCCTCAGTCTGGTCATGAGTTGTGACATCAGCTGAAATCAGCTTGTTACTTGGGCACTTGTTCTACCTTTCCTTTTGAAATGTAATGTGTATATGTGCATGTATATATGTATAGTTGTTCTCATTCTCCATAGAAATTCTTCCCAGTAGTAATGATTATACACTTAATGTAGTAGTAGTTGGGCATTTCTTCTGTGGGAGAGTTAGATGAGAGAGTTGATGCAGCTCTCATGTCTGACCGTTAAATATGACACTAACAGCCAAGAGCCGGTTAGCTTTGCTTTGTTTTGTCCAACAGTAACAAAATCTGCCAACCAGCAACCTAAAGCTGAAGCAACTAAACATTATCTTCAGACCTGTGTGAGGCTTTCCAAACAAATGGCAGTCTAATGCTGTACATCAAAACAACATTGTGTTGTTATTAATACACCAATTAAAATCACATTTGTTTTTTGTAAATAGAGATCTTATAGTTAATGATAAAAATTGTGTGTCTTTGTAACAAAGAGCATAAAGACAGTACAGTCCCTTGTTTACTGCCTTATCTTTGAATCTTTGGGGGAGAATATTCTAATAATTATCCACTTATTCTCATTTGCTGAGAAGCTTGAATAATTACTTCCCAAAATGTCCAACGTATCCTTTCAGAAAGGTGTTGACCTGTGGGAGCAGAACAATACTTAGAGCCTTTATTTGACAGTGCATGTTTATGTAGCCAAGTAACTTCCTTTTAAGATGACGCTCAAGAAGTAAAAACAAATCATCCTAAGCATTCTGAAATAATCAGCTGCTTCATTTATATACAAGTTGATGTCAATATACCATTTTAAGAGAGTGCTACATTGATGTTGCACTTTGAATGGTTTGATTTGTCCCTTTTTATCCATTCTATTGTGTGATTGATTTGGACATTTTGTCTTACATGCAGTGTGTCACCCTCCAATGTGGAACCGTTTAGTGATTTCTCAGCACAATTTATTCAAGTGAAATTCCTCTTGTGGTTATTACAAACGTCATTGTTCATGACATAATTACATAAATTAAGCGTTAACTCTTTGTTTATAAAATTAAAGATATTTTATACCCCTTGCTACAATATCTTTATGTTGATTTTCTCACTACATTCACCCAGTGTGTCTCGGTTGCCATGGTAACTGGTTTTGTCTTGTTCGCCTATGGTCTCTCTGACTTTCTGTGAGGTTTAATCGAATTTCCAGAGGCTGGAGAGTTGCCGACCCAGCAGTTGTCTCTCTTTGTGGGAACATCAGCACATTCGCCCTGCCATTTCCAATGAATGTTTACTCCTTGTGTTGGTGGGGAAATAACGCGATGACATCAGTACAGAGAAAGGCTTTTTGACAGCTGCCACTTCGAATACAGAGAGAGGCTCTGGTCTGAGAGGCAGTGTGACATTGTGTACGGGCCCCACATGTACAATTTGATTCACTCACCTCTGCGGAGGGAGACTGTAGGGCTCGGATGATGTTACAGACACTGATGCCTTCCAGTGTGGCCCCATAAAGTCAACTCAGGGGCAAGTGTAACTTATTTTGGAGGGCATGTCACATTACAAAGCACAGTCTGCTATTTTCCAGTGTTATCTGGTGGATTTAGTTAAAGGCGCTTACATAAACCCCTTTATTTGGTTTTCTGTAGTCAAACCTCTGCTAATAAGAACATAAGTATCTTAACGAAATTTGATATTCAGTCCAAGATCAGCAGAACAGGATGTTCGTGTTACAGTTTATTTTGTCATCGTCTTATTTTAAGCTCTACCTCTTTTGAAAGCCTGATAAGAAGGAGAACAGAGCCAGTGTAGTCAGGGATGCAGTTCCTCAGTGTTTTCTACACAGCTGGTTGTGCTTTTTAAATGCGGTATATAATATTCTGTCCAGTCTGGTACTAAAATTGCTTCCCTCATTGCTTTCTGAAACAGCACTGCAAAATCAGCAGGCTTTAAACTTTAACGACAACCTCTCCTAGTAGTAAAGAGGCGCACTAATGCAGCACAGCTCCTGCCAGCCGCTGCTTTTATGGGCCAGTAGATTGTCAATGAGTAAAAAGTTGCAAGCAAAGGGTTTTCCTTCAGAACCTCCGCAGTTTGATTGACAACCAAGTTTTTGCATTTTGTTGCCCTGTTTCAAGATCAGGGCCTGTATTTATCAATCTGCTAAAATGGAAATTCTTCAATAAAATCTAAAAGCTACTTTTGCCCACATTAATTTATTAGAGGAGCAGACAATGAGCAATTAATTGTGTTTGCAATCACTTTTCATACACACTTTTCATTTTGTCAAGTCCTTGTTATCCTCCTTGTTATATATCTCCTTGTTACCCTGATGTACTTCCTCCTCTACCAGCTGTAGAATCTCTTCCCTGTTCCAGTAGCTGTTGGATCGCTGTTAACAATAGTTGATTACAATGTTAAACTTTAAAACTGCGTGGTTGAGTGGTTGTTCTGTCTCCCATATTTCAATTTGTGAAATATCATGGGCTTTGTTGAGAGGATTGGCACCTGTAAGTATAAATAATTGTGTGTGCTCTCATTTCTCCTGCAGAGTGGCCTGAGTTTGTGAAGAACTATGCCCCTTGGTGGGCGTCCCACACGTTGGACTGGTTGAATTATGGGAAGAACGTCCACGTGGTCCACTTTGAGGAACTGAAGAGGGACCTGTTCTCCCAACTCAAAGGGATGGTCCAATTTCTGGGTTTGAAGGTTTCTGAGGACCGCCTGCTCTGCGTTGAGGGCCAGAAAGATGGAAACTTCAAGCGATCTGGGCTGCGAAAACTTGAATATGACCCATATACGAGCGAAATGCGAGCAAACATCAATGAACTGATCAGAACAGTAGATGCTGCCTTGAAGAAAAGAAACATGTCTGGAGTTCCAGAGGAATATATGCCAAGATGATACATGTTCCCTTTTTTCCTCACTTATTTGGACTGTTCTTTCATCAGGTTCTGCACCATGTTTTGTAGGATTACATGACTTAAATAGTTTTTACAGCTATTTTTCAGAAAAGTCATATAGGTCAAAGCTGTAGTGAAAAGAAATCAGTGTCTTTACCCTCCTATTTTCATTTTTTATTCATCTTAATTTTCTGTGCTAAACAGCAGCTTAATGCATGGATAGAAGGGACAGTTTTGAATGGGTAGGTTTGTTTTTCTCTTCAGCTGAATGAAAAGAATAAAAAGCACTTCTTATCCTGCTCTATGCACATGCACTCTGTAGGCATGTGCACATGCCTTAACAAGAAGAAGGTCAATAGCTGTGACTACAGAGATCTGACTGTGCTGGGTGATTTGTTGCCAGCGAAAAAACATTTGACATTTGAGAAGATATAATACAATACACAGTAATATACAGTGCTGCACAGTGTGTTGTATGAGCTTATATTGCGCAAAAGAGAAATAACAATTATGAGAAGACAAAACATTGAATTTTCCGCTGCTATCACAGTTACAGAACAATACTATTTTATACATGAACTTCACTGAAAACCTAAAAACTTTTAACCCTTTGTTAGAGGGGAAAATGCAATATGCAGGCTTTAACTACCTGATGATGATACTGTGTGTTTCCAAGTTTTTGTAAGTTATTCAACTTACTGTATGTACGAGAAATGATGTTTTTAATGATGAAGAGGTAAAGAACTCAATTCTCAGCTCCTCATATTCAAGAAGACAAATAATCCCTCTTGAAGGCACTGACTCAAGGAGAGAAGAGGATTTATCTCGACAGCATTTATTTATCTCTGGTGTGCAGTGCACATGTTGACTAATTTGGTTGTGACTATGTTTTCTTAACACTGGACTTGATGCAGAAATCCAAAAAGCACTATGCTGTGCACAACACTTGCCCCAAAGATCACTGAGGAATTAGGCATTACGCTCATGTTATAGACTGGAGGTTACCTTTAGAAGTAGTGATCGTTATAGATTTATTTTTAGTTAATCATACTGAATGTGAAAACTGTTTTTTTTTTATTATTGCTTTGTTGTAAGGACAGCTATGAACAGTTAAAGCTGGTGATAATTTTACTCTTCATAATAAAAAAAAAACCCTCTCAAAGGTGTGAAAAATGCTCAGATTTTATAAGCAGCACGTCTTATAACAGTACTCAATGTGCTATGCCATATGCATAAAAATAAACAAATAAATGAATATATACATATATAAAAACACTGGTGACTGAGAGACAGAAAACATTAACTGACTTCCATTTTCAATTTAATATAAATATATTTTTATAGTGTGTGCTGACACATCAAAAATATTTGTATTGCAACAAGCAAATGGGAGAAGTTGTTTCTATTTTTAACACATGCTTTAAACTTTATTGGCTCTCGCTTTCATTGACAAGCAGGCACTTTCTGAACGTAGGTGTTATATTTGAATGTATTTTCTATGGAATGAATGTAATGTGATAAGGCCCAATAAATGAGTACATTCAATAAGTTGCTATGGCCTACTCTTTTTCCAAAATGAAATGACTAGTTAAAAGGTGATGTGTTTTTGAAGATCAAAGAAAATCTGGATCTCCCCAGGCTCCTCTGCTAAACACATTAAGCCATAGAATGAATAAAAGCACTACTTAGTATTCAGATTCTCTAATTAACATACTGTATAATACACCTGAACATATGTAAATACACTAAATGAATTGATTGTTTTATGGTCCAGTGTGCATGGCTCAGATTTCCTGCAAAACATTGGGAAGGTTGTTCAGCAGCCAAGAAATAAACACAACCAGAAGTCTACAGCGATGCTAGCAGCGCTATGATGGTCAGCGCTTAATGCTAACCTCTGCATGCTAACATTTTCACAGTGACAATGCTAACATGATGATGTTTAGCAGGTATAATGTTTACCATGTTCACCATCTTAGTTTAGCATGTTAGCATGCTGGCATTTGCTAATTAGCACTAGACACACAAAGTACGAGGCCAGCAGAGGGGCTGTGAACCAAAGTATTGGACAAATTAATATTTAAACCTGATCAAGACGCTTTATGAAGTGCTAAAAGTTACAAACGTGTTTCTGACCACCTGGTGAATGTAAGTTCAGTGTTCACTCTCCATTTTGCTCTGTTTTGGTCTCAACCAACATGTGGCTCTTTAGCTGCAAATGCTAATCTCTCTACTATCTTCACCAGCTAGTCTCTTTAACTGTGTGTCTGCCATTTGGTGACACAGCTGCCCACTGCAGCTCAAAATGAGGTTAAGAGTAAGAACAATAACAACAAAGTTTTGTAGCCTACTGTAAAGCTGAAAGATTCTGAAGCGCTCTGTAGAGCTGAGGGGAACCACTGAGTCGAGTTATACTTCTTGAGTAATTCTTGAGTGTTGTACATTTTGAGGAAGCTCTCTCAGATTAACACATGGCCCAGCTGTTACATTAAAAACACATTAATGCAGCTTTAAATGTAAACTCTGTCCAAAGTTTCAATGTGACTCACTGTTTGTGTTTTATGTAACATTTGGATTCCCTCTGCCCTCCACTGTTTCGACACAAAAAAAAGAGGAAAAAAAAAAATCACGTGACGCTTATTTTTTTATGATTCCTCTTACGTTGTTGCTGGGCAGGAAGTAAGTGACTTTAGAGAGATTCTTTTCAAGGGGAAAGGTCCAGTTCAGATACACATTTATTGTATCCCTACACCTTCAGGGGAAGAATAATTTTGACCTTGGAGATGTGACACTAGTGTATATTATATACAGTATATCATATTTCTGTTTCAGCTTTTATTGTTCCAGAATTGTTTGTCAAAATTTAGCCTGAAAACATGTTGTGTAAAGAGATTACTCTTTTCTACTGGCCGCTGGTGTGCAGTAATAGGGGTGATATCATTGTACTGTATACAATACATGTACGCATATTACTGCAATTGAGGCATGACTGAAATGAATAAATTGATGCTAACCATTTTCTGACTGCAATTATAAAATATCCTAACTCTTCTGACTTCTCTCTTTTAACTAATGTTAAAGCTCTCATTGCCTTTACCACCTTTTTCCAATCATGACTATGAATAAATTACAAATAAATACTTTTCTCAACATGGGATTACTTCATTTATTTCAAGAATATAGCTTCAAAATGCAAATAATACCCCAATATTGAGAGATTAGAGAACACATCAAAGACCTGGTTGTAATAGTTACAGCTTCATTTCAGAAAACAGAAACAAGGAAAAAAAAAACATTGAAACACTCATTGCACAAATCACATTCAATGTACAGTTCTCACACATGAAATAAAAGAAATACTTGTCCATTCAACAAACTGTTTTTGCCAACTGTTAATAACAGCTGTGTGTCTGGTATTTGTACTGCATCATGATTTCATGACTGCTATACTGAGTTGTTAGAAAGATACATTCATCTTACAAAACAAACCCCTTTCAAAACATGTTTAGAGAATGAATAGCAGTGGAGGACTCCTGCTATTTCTTTACTTACTTGCTCATTCATAAGAGAACTAACTGCATTGCACAAAACTCAACCTCAACATCCCCCTATTTGTAAATGCTGCAACAAAAATAACTGTGTGCTGTGGTGTCAGTAAGCAAAACCAAAAAACATTCTTTTCATGGGTGTGAGGCCAGTTGAGGTTTCATGTGCATGAAAAAGAAAAACCACTCATTGGTTGCTTTGATGCTATGAGCATCAAGCTTATCATTTCCGTTCAGAAGTCAAGGAAGCAAATATCAACTTTACATCACTTATACATCAAATTAACAAAAATAATGATGGTACATTTTTGTGAGTTTAGTATTAAAAGATATATTTTACAGCCCCTTTATTTTACAACTATAATTCCTCTGTGTGCTGCTGTTAAAATTGCCTGCAAAACCATGCACAGACACTGTTCTGAAAACACTCGGTCTGCTAGATGAGACTGATTCCACCCATCCTGCAATGCAACATGAGCTAAGTACATGTTTAGATATTGGCTCAAACTTGCAGATTCTTCAACCACATTCTGTGTTTGTGAGCCTACTTTGGGAGCAGAGATCTTTATCCTGCCAAGAGCAGAAAAGTGCAACAACAATGCTCATTTTCAGAATGAATCAGTACAAATTTTATTAATGTGTGTGTTTCCACAAGCAGAGGCATATTTTGTTATCTTGTTAATTAATTGCATAATTAGAAAGAGCATTTTGTTGTCAAATGAGTGCCCAGAGTGAAAGGGTTTTGGAGATACCTCTAGATGTGTGTAGAAGCTCTTCTGTCCACAGAGCTGGACCTGGACAGGTATTGGCTGGTGGTGCGGATTTCTTCTCCCAGTGCATTCTCCATTTTTGAGAGCACAGAGCTCTTGAACTTCCGCTTGAAGTCGTTGCCCATGAAAACATACAGCACTGGGTTGAGGAAGCTGTTTGCTGCTGCCATAGAGGTGCCTACTTTGAGTCCAATGACTAAAATACTGTGGTTGTAGTTTTGGTGGTTCAGCTCAAGTAGGACGAACACGTGGTAGGGCAGCCAGCAGACGAAGAAAGCGACGACTAATGCGGACATCACTTTGAAGGGTTTGGAGGACTTGGTCATCCTGTTGGTGCGAAGTTTGAAGATGATGACCGAGTAGCAAATAATGATGATGATGAAAGGGACAACAAATCCTGCAAGGAAGCGGATCACTGCAACTATCTTGTGACTGTGTTGGTTCACTGTATAATTGTTGAAGCAAGAAGTCCTACCCAGGTGGGTGCCAATGTCCCGAAAGATGGCAGAGGGAATGCTCAGAGTGACAGCGAGAAACCAGGCCATCACTACAGCAATGGACGCCTTTTTAACATTGCGCTGGTTCTGGGCCCAAACTGGAAACATGACGGAGATACAGCGGTCGACACTGATGATGACCAGGAGGAAAATGCTGCTGAACATGTTGACGAACATAACGGAGGAGGTGAACTTGCACATGAAGAGGCCAAAGACCCAGTCCTCCATCACCATGTTGGTGATGCTGAACGGGAGAAAGGCACAGAAGACGAAGTCGGAGATGGCGAGGCTCAAGTACCAGGTGGTGTTGATTGTCTTCTTCATCTTGAAGCCAGAAATCCAGATGACCAGGGCATTCCCAAAGAAGCCCAGCACGAAAATGACCACACTGGCCACCAGCAAAAACACACACAAGACATTGTTTAAACATGTGGATTTGTGCTGAAAAACCGGTTCCTCGTATGGAGTCAAATTGTCAGAGTAACTATAGTTATAATCTTGATAATCATATGAATCCATTGTTCTTTAAGGAGAAGAGCTGTCTTAGAGATTTCTGTGGAAAAAGAAGGAAAACATTTTAAATGATTTGCATTTTTACAGATTCAACATAATTTTCCAATAATGTTTATGGCATTTTTTCTTTATTAAGATGAAACAATACCTGCAGGACAGACCTTCCACTGCGGTTGACTTGATGATGTTCAGAGCAGAATGTGCACAGGGTTGAGCTGTTTCCTCTAAGTGCGTTAGAGGTACTGCAAAATCAGCTGACTGTGTGGTTTCTCAATACTTCCATCCCCCAAATACTTTCAGTACTGCATTTTGAGGTCTTGCACCTTATTGGACACCCATTTTGTTTACAAGCATTACATTATATTTATAATATGGTTTTCGATCCTCCTCCTGTGAAAAAGAAAAGTATCTTAATTATCACACATACTTTTACTCCCGTGTCAGAGTTTAGTGATATGGCTCAGATGATCTTTCCTTTGCCAGATGCTTGTTACTGGCCAGATGTATCTGTTCAAAACAGTCAGGAAAGAATGTAAACCCACAAAATTATGTGCATCTTAGGCAATAAAAATACTGATTTGATATTTCAAACCCCGCTTATGATGCAGATGTTTCTAATAACAAAAAGCAACAGCTGTGGTAAACACAGGTCAGAGAACAGCGCTGCCATCATTACTGACAAAATCAGCCTTCTATGGTTGTCCTGTTTCATGGACTCATAATCATCGAGGCAGATGAAATCGTTCACCGCATTCCATGTTTCTCCTGAACACGAGTCAGTGGCAGTAAGAACAGCTGCAGGAAGAAGAGACACAGCTACTTAGTTAAGTTATTTTGTTTTGAGGAGGTTATCATGAGTGAGGAGGACAGCGCTAATCCTAAACATAGCACCAGATTCCTGATTCAATCACAAACTTCCGCTGTTGAGTTGGACTTCTGAACTAGTGAACCCAGGTGCAGACACAGACAAGGGGAAGACAAAGGTATAGGTTAAAAGATAATTTATTAAAGATAGTGATGGAGATGATTGGTGCTTTGTGGTAATGACGGTGGAGACCAGCGATGAGACAAGACAAGGAGCCAGGGGCTGGAGTCAGGGGTCAGGGGTCAGGGGAACTGCAGGGGAGACGAGGCAAGAGTCAGGAGACAAAGAACATGTAATGGGCTGAAGCAGAAGTGCAAAGTAACAAGAAAGCTGGAAGTGAAGACCAATGGAGGCAGAAGCTACAATCTGGCAGGCTGGTAGTGGCAGAGCTGGCTATGTAGAGAGCTTGATTATGGTGATGAGGAGCAGCAGGTCTGGTTCTGCTCTGAATTAAGCACACCTGCTTCTCAGACCATCACACACAGAGATGTAGGGGGACTGACAGGTGAGGTTGCTGACGCAGATGTGACACCCACTTTTCCAGAAGATAAAAAAACTGATCAGATACAGGGGGATGAAAATGTGATTTAAAAAAAAAAAATTGCCCTGCCACCTGCTTGATAATAATAATACTAATACTAATACTAATAATAAAATAAAATAAAATAAAAAAAAAAATAAAATAAAAAAAAAAATAATAATAATAATAATGAAGCACTACAATTCCTCTAGTTTCTGATTGTGACACTGTGTTATGACACTGATGTAGCTCACACAGTTATAACATTGTCTGTATAGTTTTCCCGTTTCACAATGACTATTAAAAGCCTTGCACACTCATGGTAAACCATGAATTTAATTAATTAGGCTGTGTAGTCCTGTAAAGACTGCTCTTGATTTATTGTCTCCTGGCCTCACGTTATTTCTAGACATAATTTCCAATATGACTCTGCTCACTTTCAACCTGAGCAGACGTCCAGTAAGCCAGCACCAGTCAAAACAACTGTGTGTTGTGCAGAGGCTTTAAGAAGTGAGAATGAATCCATCTGAAATGCAGTTTGTACACAATATTTATTATATAGCCGACATCCCCCACTCATAAAAGGATCCTACATTGTGTGTGTGTGTGTGTGTGTGTGTATGTGTGTGTGTGTTTGTGTGTGCGCGCTAATAAACAAGCGCTTCTAGACATATCACATAATTTATCTTCTGTCTCTTTGATATTGCAAGTTATGATATGTAATGAAAACTTTCCTTAGCTCTGCAGAGGCATTTACAATCCTACTACTGAATGCTTAATGTGTTTGCCTTTTGTATTTTTTTATACAGTGAATCCCATTCTTTCAAAACACTTAGTCTGAAACAAAGAAAAGAAGTAAATCTTATCTATGAAGTGGCTTTGGCTCTGAAACAATAAAATTAACAATGAATAATTAACACAAGCGTTTACTAAACTGGTCCTTTTGTGTTGGACTATACTGTAAAACAGCTTCAGCTAAACTATAACTATTTTAACATTCAGAATACAATGAAGTCAATGCTGATGAGACTGGAGCTTGCACTGTTGGCAGTTTGTTCGTCACTCCCCTATGAGAATGTTACTGCTGTCAAAAAACTTCATTTCCACACATAAAAACACATATTAGCAGAGAAATATGCACTCTGGTAAATGAAAAAACCTAATTGTGTGCAGCATGCCTACCTGACCTATTTAGATGCATTTCATCTAAATCACTTTCACTGCGGAGGGCATGCAGACCTGTCAGTGCCCTGCAGATTGGATTTCCTAATGAAGGTTGAGGTTATAAATAATCAAACACATGCACAATAACCAGGTATTAGCTTTCTCTGGTAAATGCACAGCAAACCCTCTGAGGAAATTCTGGGGATGCTTTATATTTCAGAAGATGCTTCACACTTTGATAAAGAACGAAAGGCAATTTTGCTTCCTACTTCTATATACAGAAAACATACTTAAGGAGTTAAGAGGTATTTGAAATACGGTTGATTTAGGTATTTAGGTGATTTAATGAGTTTTATAGAAAAAAAATCAGAATTTAAAGAACTATATGTGTTGTATCCAAGGTTCAGTGGAGTTTGGAGCGACCTATACTGGCATCAAATTCACATTTATCCTGAGTCCACTGTGCATTTTAACATATACACAGAGAAAATCCAGTGTATCTAAGCTGAATGCATCACAATGACTCGCTGGATTCAGCAGGGTGGCACTGTCAAAAGAGGGAGGCAATCTTTCAACAAACAACTTAATTTCAAGCACCTTCTGTATCCTGATGGACAGACCTTGAGAAATTCAAGCTGTGCTGCACTCTGATCTCACTATAGAGGACAGAGCCTGAAAAGAAAATTTCCCTATTAGCAAGAATAAAGCACCAAGGGTGTATGTTTGCATATCAATGGTAGGGACATGTCTATGATGATGTTTTTTGACGTTTTAATGTCGTCCTATGACGTTTTATGCCTTACGGTACTATGAAATTTTTTCACATTTACACACCCTACTATACTGTGACATTTATATGCCGTATTATACTGCAACATTTTTGAAATTTTTATGCCTCACTATATTATTATGTTTTTTGACCTTTTTATACTTTACAATACTATGACGTTTTTGACATTTTAATGTTTTCCTATAATATGACTTTTTATGCCTTCCTATACTATGACATTCTTGATGTTTTAATCTCTTCCTATGACGTTTTATGTGTACTTTACTATAATGTTTTTTGACATTTTTTCTGCCATACTATACTGTGATGTTTTTATGCCTTACTACCCAACAACGTTTTATGTCTTACTATACTATGACGTTTTTTTCACACTTACAGGCCCTACTATACTGTGACGCTTATATGCCATAGTGTAATGCAAAGGTTTTTCGACATTTTTAAGTCTTACTATACTATGAAGTTTTTATGTCTCACTATACTATGACGTTTTTTTCACACTTACAGGCCCTACTATACTGTGACGCTTATATGCCATAGTGTAATGCAAAGGTTTTTCGACATTTTTAAGTCTTACTATACTATGAAGTTTTTATGTCTCACTATACTATGACGTTTTTTTCACACTTACAGGCCCTACTATACTGTGACGCTTATATGCCATAGTGTAATGCAAAGGTTTTTCGACATTTTTAAGTCTTACTATACTATGAAGTTTTTATGTCTCACTATACTATGACGTTTTTTTCACACTTACAGGCCCTACTATACTGTGACGCTTATATGCCATAGTGTAATGCAAAGGTTTTTCGACATTTTTAAGTCTTACTATACTATGAAGTTTTTATGTCTCACTATACTATGACGTTTTTTTCACACTTACAGGCCCTACTATACTGTGACGCTTATATGCCATAGTGTAATGCAAAGGTTTTTCGACATTTTTAAGTCTTACTATACTATGAAGTTTTTATGTCTCACTATACTATGACGTTTTTTTCACACTTACAGGCCCTACTATACTGTGACGCTTATATGCCATAGTGTAATGCAAAGGTTTTTCGACATTTTTAAGTCTTACTATACTATGAAGTTTTTATGTCTCACTATACTATGACGTTTTTTTCACACTTACAGGCCCTACTATACTGTGACGCTTATATGCCATAGTGTAATGCAAAGGTTTTTCGACATTTTTAAGTCTTACTATACTATGAAGTTTTTATGTCTCACTATACTATGACGTTTTTTTCACACTTACAGGCCCTACTATACTGTGACGCTTATATGCCATAGTGTAATGCAAAGGTTTTTCGACATTTTTAAGTCTTACTATACTATGAAGTTTTTATGTCTCACTATACTATGACGTTTTTTTCACACTTACAGGCCCTACTATACTGTGACGCTTATATGCCATAGTGTAATGCAAAGGTTTTTCGACATTTTTAAGTCTTACTATACTATGAAGTTTTTATGTCTCACTATACTATGACGTTTTTTTCACACTTACAGGCCCTACTATACTGTGACGCTTATATGCCATAGTGTAATGCAAAGGTTTTTCGACATTTTTAAGTCTTACTATACTATGAAGTTTTTATGTCTCACTATACTATGACGTTTTTTTCACACTTACAGGCCCTACTATACTGTGACGCTTATATGCCATAGTGTAATGCAAAGGTTTTTCGACATTTTTAAGTCTTACTATACTATGAAGTTTTTATGTCTCACTATACTATGACGTTTTTTTCACACTTACAGGCCCTACTATACTGTGACGCTTATATGCCATAGTGTAATGCAAAGGTTTTTCGACATTTTTAAGTCTTACTATACTATGAAGTTTTTATGTCTCACTATACTATGACGTTTTTTTCACACTTACAGGCCCTACTAT